AGTTGACCACAGAGAGTAGATGACTTTTTGTGCTTTAAAGACAGACACTGTTTCTACTGAGGACAATATCAAGTGATCTACTCCAGGGATCAGTGTTACAACTGAAATTCTTAAAGTCTGTAGTTGTCTTTTCTTTTTTTTAAATAGTGTTTGGATAGTAATGAACTGAACTGAACCAATCCACCTTTACCGTGCATTGGTTTTATTGAAAGAGCTTTCATAGCTGACCTAACTGTACTTTACTGTGCATTAAGGTACACTTTACAATCACCTTTTAAAGGAAACCTGTCTGTTCAGAGTGTCTATAAAACAACACTCAGCCTTACTTTTTGGTTGCTTCAGCAAAAAGTCAGACTGCATCCTGCCAAAAAGCAAGCTGTTGTTAACTGTAAACCTGTGATCAAGAATGCCTTAGTTTACCATTAAAGACTACAGATTATAAGTGGCTTATTATAATACTCCTCTAGGCTATCCCTCTTAATACGTGGTACTTTGTTGACTCTCCTCCTGGAGGTCAAAGGTCAGCTATGGATCAGCATGGCTTTGCAAACCTCTCTACGCATGCTGTCCCTCTTAGCTTATTGTGCAACTACATATAGGAATTATTGCTATAGAATTACAGTGCCCGTACTGAGGTGCATTTTGAGTAAGGAAGAACATCTCCCAGTATTGCCAATACTGATTCTCTGCCCCTGAGTTTGTGGCTTTGAATTGCATAGAAGTCCAACATGCTTCCAAACAAAGTGAGTCTATACCAGTGACTCGCACACAGGTGGGTTGTCAGAGTCCTGGCTGTGCATGGAGCTCAGGCCTGTGTCTGAGTCCTCGTCGTTTGTATTGCAGGCCTTGGACAGACCTCTGGCCTGCTCCACCCAGCCGCTGCTCTTCTCTGCTGATGCTGGCTCAGCCTCAGTGCTCACTGCACCCAGCTCTGCCTTAGTATTATCAGTCAGTTTGGTGTTCACCTGCTCTATCTCCATGGTCTCAACTTTGGCCAGTAAGTCCAGAAGTTCACTCTCCTTGGTCTCCCAGAGCGCCAGACTCAGGTCCAAGTCTCCCCTGATGGCGTCCAGGTCTGTCTTCAGCCGCAGGCCGATGTACAGACTGGTGTCCAGCTGCGTTTTGATCCTCTCCTCCTCCAGAGAGAGTTCGTTCTCGGACAAACTTTCCACATCTGGTTCCACAGCTGGAGCGGCAGACGCGGCCAGACACACCTCCTCCGCGACGCTGTCTGTGTCCTTCGCCGCCTCCGCTCCTCTCTCCTCCCGCCGCCGCTTCATCCACCGTCGGTTGAGCTCCTCCTGGATCTCCCCGGTGATGCTCTCCACGAGCGCCTCGCGCTCCGTCAGCTCCTCCTGCAGCCGCACCACCTCCTCACACCGGCGCGCGTACTCCTCGAACTGCGCGAGCGCCTCAGCTGTGCACCGCGTGTCCTGCCGCTCCGCTTTGCGCTTACAGTCCGAAGGAGCGGAACCCTCCGAGGAGGAGTCCACCATGTATGTGTCCTGCACATAGTTTACTCCGTGTCTCTTGATGCGGTCGAAGTGCACTTTGGCCTCGTACCGCTCGATCTCCCGGTCCAGCTCCTTGATCCTCTGGATCTGCTGGCGGATGGTGTGGTCCTGGGAGATCACCAGGTGAACCAGCGTCTCCATCTTCTCCACGGAGCCCTTATCTTTAGAAACAGTCTGCTCTTTCTTTTTGTTCATCTTATCCAGCTTCCTGAAAGCCTTCCTGACTATGCGCCTCTGTTTCTCCTGGGACAGGTTAGCGGCAGCGGCCGCGGCGGTCCAGCAGGTCTTGGCGGTGCCCTTGAGCACCCCGCCCGGACCGCCGCTCTCCCGGCTCTGGACCACCCGAGCCTCGGCGCTGCGAGGCCCGTTGTTGGGCAGCGAAGCCTCGTTCTTCACCAGGACGAAGCGGACATTCTCCTGCTCGTCCCCCCAGGCGCTCCACAGCCGGAGGATTTTGGTCTTGTTGGGTAAAATCCTCTCGAAGCCTCTCCATTTCTCCACCACGCAGTAGGACTGCGGGGAGCCGGACAGCATAGCTGCAGAGGCGCCCTGCTGCAGGTTCTGGTCCTCCAACAGGACTTTGACCACGTCGGCGCAGGTGGTTCGCTTCGTCAGTCCGGAGACCAGCTTCTCCTCCCGGCAGACCCACACAGAGATCTTCCCCTCCTCCGGCTCCATCTCTGGCTTAAATCCAAGAGCAAAAAGTTTCTGCAACGTAGCCTGTCCTCTCTTTGTGGCAACTCAAAAAGCAAAGGAGACGAAAGCAGTCTTTATATTTCTGACCACATTTGAAGTTGACTTCAAACTTAATTTGGCCTACAGTGGAGAGAGTGAAGCAAAACATTCATCCAAAAACTAATTCTCTGTCCCGTCGCTGTGTAGGCCTGTCAGCTCCCACTCTAAATACGCTCAGAGGTCCGGACATATGACATTGCCCCCATCCATTCATATTTCCCCAGTGGTCTGCTCCCGGGATGCCTGCCGGGACCTCATCCCTCTCTCCCCGGCAGATTGATCTCAGCCCCGCGCGCTGCTCCGGAGAGGAGAGGAGGAGAGGTGCGTCCTTGTGTCAGGACAGGCTGCTCTGCTGTGCGTGGGACAAAACAGGAGGGTGCTGTAACGGCTGGGACACGCCTCCCTGCCTCTCTCACCCTCTCTCTCTCTGTGTCACAAACGCGCGCGCGCGCGCACGCACACACACGCACGCTCTCACTTCTCCTACACAGGGAAACCTGGACTGAGATAGTGAAACGAACATGCAGCACCCTTCGAGTTTGCAGTCAGCGTGAAGAAAAGGTTGACTCCGGCTAACTGCTTCAATCTACAAGTCCACATTAATCTGTAATCTTTAATCCCCAAAACTAGTTTCTGCTTTTAATCTCTGCCATTTACACAACTAAAACATAATTCAAACTAAACTAAAACTAAAGAATATTTTTTTTATATTGAGACATGATAGCCTGCAGCTAAGGTTAAAGAAAGTGTTTGGATTGAAATTGTACTTGAGCACAATTTAACTTGTGATACTTGTACTTTACTTGAGAATTTACATTTTATTCTGCAGGACAACAGGCCTTGCCACAGAAAGACTCAGTCCCTGATATAGCTGATGCCTTGTTGTGCATTTGTGATTCCCCCCCTGAACTTCTGAACTAAAACAATGTTTGGCTCACATTCTCAGTAGTCATATTTTTACAGAACTGAGCACATTTTTCATTGCAGTTCTGGATTATATAGATGCATTTATTAGTGATGAGAACTAATGAGTCCAGGTTACAAGCCAAGAAGAACCACGGAATAAAGCTAAACCACTGATGAAGCTCTGACTCAGCAGTGTTACACGGCCATATGCATTGTTATACAGTTTCATATAATCCCCACACAGCTGCATGTCTCAGTATGATGAAGCTCAGCTGGACTGAGCACAAAGCAGAAGGAAATCCATCCATTACACCCTGCAGGGTTCTCATAAAGTGTCTGACCCCATAATCTGCTCTTCAAACTGATTCAGGCCACAATATGGTCGATGAAACTCATAAAAGGCTGCGTTAAGAGTGTTTTGGTGTGAGTATTACATTAATGGTGTGTGTAGCTGAGTGCTGCATCAGGCCAGGTCTGTTGGTAAAATAACTGCTTAGAAAACCATCTGGGAATGTGAACACACACACTATGCATCTGCACACATCCAGACACACACGGCACACACACACACAGCAGCACGTCCACACACATTCAGGGCATGCATTACAAACACATTAGATTTGGATAAAGAGGATTGTCCTGCTACGCCTGGGATGTGAGATAACAGAATGTTTTTTTCTTATCTTTGATCTCATTTCCTGTGAGGTCATCACGTCTGCCTGACCTGCAGACTTATTATTGGATGGAAAAGGTTCGGTGCTTCCGGTGTTACTGCAATGCTTGTGACTGCGAAGAGAGTTTAAAGAAAGAGTAAGATGTTTTGGTTTTTGGTATGTGGCAAGCCTGTTTGTGATTGATAACACTATTTAATGTTATGCAAAGGTCAAATTAACAGAGAGGTGGTACCTTTCAATTATCTTAATAGTATATGAATATGAATGATTGTGGCTATTGATGCAAGGATATGCATGAAAGTGGTGTTTTAACTTTATTCAAAACATATATAAAAAATATAGAGCTATTGTAGAGCTTTGTGTTGCATTCTTAGAGTAGGGCTCCCTCTGGTGTTCATAAGGGAAAATACACTATTGGAGTCACATTGGCCCTCTGAAGCTCTCTCTGAGGCTCATCTACGCTACATTAATTTATGACAAAATAATGGCACCGTTTTCTTAGTTCTTTGGGACAGTCATCAAACGAAATGATGATGAAACACTCAACATGTTCATCCTCATAGTATGACTTGTAACACAACCTGTAACTCACATCATTTCAGATTGATTTCTTGTCTTCATTCAATCAGGATCAACACAGCTTTCCAGTGGACATGTGAGGGCATACATTTTGTGAACACACAACAAGACAGCGTAATAGTAGAGGCTGCATTTTTGTGGCTCTCACCCCTCTGAATCTTTTACTGCTGACTTTATGGAACCTTCAGTGGCCGCTGTAGAAGCCCCACAACAGGGGCAATGTGACACACAGATTTAAAGACCACTGTCAGTACACTTGCTGTGCAATATATATATATATATATACTGCCCAACAAAGGCAAAGCGCAGTTATGAAAAGCGCTGTGAGAACTGTTGTTGTGATTTGGCGCTATATAAATAAAATTGAATTGAATTGAATAGAACAGATGTCATAAAGCCCATTTCCAGTCTTAACTCAATTTTGACCAAATGTGTAGTTACTGCGCTTTGCCTTTGTTGGGCAGTATATATATATATATAATTTCCTAAACAGAATGCAACACAAAATATAACAAAGAAACCTTTTCTCAGTTGATTCAGTGGCCTCAGTGACAAGTGTGGCTGACTAATAAGTAAAGACAAAACCCTAGAGCACAGTTTGGAACTGACCATTTATTTAAACTGAATAGCATATGCGTACAAAGTCTCTACAAAGCTAGAAAATATCTAACATACTTTTAGCCATGAGGGGGGAAAAAGTTACAAAGCAAAGATCAGACCCTGTGCAGTACCAATAGACACACATCACCAGCTTTTGGACTTTCCTAAATGTACTCTTTCTTCGCAAAATAGGATAAACATTAGAATATCAAAGATATACACAACATCTGTAATAAACGTTATTGTCACCTCTATACAAAGCACCTTATCAAAAACCCTCAGTGCACACACACAGGTGTGCTGCGCGTGCACCAGAGCAAAAAGATTCAAGGCCATTTTGGAATTGATTACAGACAAGATTTCTGTGCCACGCGTGGTTCGGAAAAGAAGATAAATATCCAACTTGCACATACGAGACGACATTAACACCACAGACGACGATGATTCAGAAACTCAGCAGTTGACTGAACTTTCAAACCTTCTGAAAGACCTTTGGGCATCGTGCATACACTGCTTTTTGTGTGAGTTTATTAGTGTGTGCACGTTCTCCAGTTGATTATAATGAGTGGATATACAGTTGAGTCCTTGTAAAGTTTTAGACAGTTTAAGACATTTTAATTGAAATAAATCACAGTTTCCAGTGAGCTTCTCATACAGGGCTTCTTGAGTCTGCCAACCAAGATGATAAGAGGTGTCCATGACAAGGTCAAATTAAAAATACATCTTTAAAGGCAAACACATGTTAATGCACTTTTCTAAACCAGGTTCAAAAACACGCTTTCATTTAACCACATTTCCTTCACTTTGTGTTTATTTTGTTGTTTTTACTTACATCTGTACAGTTTTACAGAGTAGCCCACAAGCTACAGATGTTTCTAGGGTTATTTTCCATGAAACTATTTGGCAGAAGCTTGTAAGTTACTCTGGCTTGTAATAAATCCATTTTCCTCTGTATGTTGTGTCACATGATGACTGTCTTTGGTAAGCAGGTGGTAGATATTGTGAGACAGAGAGTCATTATTGCAAAACTAGCCCCTCTGAGGCTGTATGTTACATGTCAGTACTCTGAAGTGAAGCTCTAGTAGTGTGCCTGCAAACAACAAGCTGCTGTACTGTGAGACAAAACTCTGGGAAAGTTAAAGGGGAATTTTGAATGGGGTTTTCCTGACAGCATGATTCACCAGCGTTTTGAAAGGATTGTGGGTTTTGTTTTGGACAGGTGACTGTAACCCTGAGACACCCACAGGAGTCTTTAGACAAATATGGTGGAGTCAAAATATAGTGGTTTTGGACAATGGCAAATCTAAAGATGGCTCATTTCAGGTCTGCCCTAAAGTTTATTTGCAAGGTTTTCTCTGCAAGTTATTAGGTATTGTGGACACCACGTAGCATCCCAGCTGGTCACACAGGAAACGTAACCCTGTGAGTCTTGGCACTGTGTTAATCAGCATACTGTATTCTTCATTGTTCCAGAATGAAAAAAAAAACCTCTGGGCCTCATTCATTAAGATGCACATACTGTAATTTTGGTGTTTGTGTTGGTCTGTGTCAGTGTACATGATGGACATACTAAGTATACAAAATCAGCCTGTCAGGAGGAGGTCTGGGGTCTGTACCAAGAAGAAGCTTTTTTACTTTGCTGAGTAAGCTGGATAAAGACCAGGTGTTGACACATTTTTGGCCATGTGGGATGCCAATTGTGACATTTTGGGGAACACACATATTCACTTTCTCGCAGAGAGTTAGACAAGACTGTACGATAAATATGGAGCTACAGCAGTTGTGGTTTTACGCAGTGTTTAAATGCAGGATTATGTCTTTGCTGGGCACAGTAGCCAAACCACAACTTGTTGTTTTTACATTTTGTTTTTTGTGTGGGTTCATAAATGACATATACCATGTCAACCATTATGTTTTAATTTTGTTGGGCTTCTGTAAATAACATCATAGAGTACGGTCTAGACCTGCCCTTATATGAAAAGCGCTGTGAGATAACTGTTGTTGTGATTTGGCGCTATATAAATAAAATTGAATTGAATTGAATGTTTTAGAGGTGCTGGAAGGTGAATTTAGACTAGCTGTTCTCCGTGTTTCTGGTCCTTATCCTTAACTAAGATAACATGGCTCCTGCTTCTCACCGCACAGACACAAGAGTGGAATCACTCTTCTCATCTAACTGTCAGCAAGAAGGAAATTAAGTGTATTGCCCAAAATATCTGACTTTTTCTTAAAGGTTTATCAAGAAAACACCATCACCAATACGGACTTCTTCCAACTGGATGAACATGCTTGCAGCTAGACCATTATTTCATAGCAGAGATCTGAGATGGTCTTCTCTAGCAGTAACAAGTCCAAGTTGCATTTTATATAAATGAGGCACCAGACAATATCTAGTATGCAAGCTGTTTTAACATGAAACTGTCAGACATACATGTAATATACAAATGCAAATACATGTAAATGCTGACATAAGATACCAAGTAAACAAGAATGTGACTCATTAACATCTGGTGGGAAATACAGTAAAGATTCTTTAGGATGGTTCAGTGCTGACTGTCTACAAATTACAACAAGAAACAGCCATTAAATAAGGAATTTGGATAATTAGCCCTCAGACGCTGAAAACTGGTGCGTGTGATACTTAATTATGCATTCTTTATATTCACTAAAATTGCCCGTCTATACACCATCTACAACACCAAATTATCAGGACCTATGTAGAACAGATTAGACATGTCTACTGCTGTTCCCAACCAAAGGCACTTCATGCTGGTGAGCATGACACAGACAAACCACCAAACGTCACCTGCTACAGTACACTTCATCAACAGTTTTTGGTTTTTGATTCATAAATTACTTTAATTCTGACATATCTTTATCTAACTGGTAGAAACCAGTCCTGAACTGATAAAGGTAACTGTGTCTTAAACTACTATGTTTTCCAGAGTTAAAAACAGAGTGCTGAACGAGCTGTCCTGACATGGACAACGCTCTAAATGTAAAACAGGTGCCAAGGCTTCTGGTCAGGGTGATCTTCAATTTAAATATGGACGTAATAACATTTCAGGCTTGAACATTTTTGTCAATATGGACATGTTAAAGCTCAAGTTAGCTGGTGCAAGAATATTGAACTAAGCTAAGTTTAATTTGCAAAGTGAAACCTGATCAGAAAAATCACAGGTGTGAAAGGTTTCCTTCCTTTGTACACCATGAATGATGTTTTAAAGATTCACAGTGCTTCCCAATGGTGTGACCACGATACATTTAATATTTAAGATTAGATTATCATGAAATCAAACCCTCTGCATTATTTTTCAGCATTAGCCATTCCATATATTTAAATGTTGTAGTTACACCTCAATATGGTAGTATTCATTGTCAGTGGCGGAGTCCGCCATTTCCGCCCCAGATTCAAATGGCCAATGGACACAATCCATGTCTGCTAACCCAGCCTTTCCCTACTGATGTTGCTTCATATTAAAAGCCTTCAACTGAGGAAACACAGCGTGGCTTTTATTGTGAAACAGTCACAGAGAGCGTAATGTATTTGTCACCAGGGTTAGTGCTGACAATGATCGCAAAATAAGCCAGGACTGAACTCTTACCGATTATAGCTTTAACATGCTGATTTATTTATTCAATCATGATGAAGAGTCACTTGTTGCACAATAAGGTACCTGAATTCTTCAATTTCACTTATAATTTCTTATTAACATACATTTTAGATAGTGTTCCTGGAATTAAAATATAGTCTATATGCTACTATCAATAAACAATTTCCCAAAGTTTAGAAGCTATTCTTTTTTTTTTTTTTTTAAAGAAAACATAGAAAAAGGTAAAAATTTGATTCTTTTCTTTGGGACACAACCTCTTTTTTTGTGCAAGAATGCTACTCACACAATTTGCAGTGGCTATCTGTACAAAGCCACCTCTATATTGTACTATATGATAATGCAGTAGTGTTATTTCCTTCTCTAGTTATTGATGATACACAGGGTCTGACCTTCAGTGTCCGTCAGTACTTGGCAGATAACACACACACACACTTTTGTCACAGGGGGCAAAGATTGTGAGATGTCTTTCTTCCATCCTGGGTTGATTTTCCCAAAAGCATGTGACAGAAATAAGACTTTCATTTCCACCATCAAGCAAGCCAAATCCACATTTACTGGTAGAAAGAGGGGAAGAAACCAATTAGCAGGAGACATGGCATCTCCTGGTGATATCAGAGTCAGGATGTTCTTGGGGAAACCACCCAGGTCGATTCTGATGTGTCTATGGCTGCACTGCCACTGTGCTTCTGCAGCTAATGAGCGTCTGATATTCAGGTTGGAGTGAATATGTGTTTGTTGAAATGCTCCTCTTGAAGAGGATTCTGCAGCACACTGTGTCATATCTGGTGTTAATTAAAAAATACCCAATTATTGCTGTGATGTTTTGTGAGCAGCAGTGAAAAGGCAGCCCTTCTCTTCTTCGTCACTAGGTCAAATTGTTTGGCTGAAAGACACTTTTGTAGAATTCAGTTTTTGGCCATTGTACCTCCAATGTCACCATTAATCACCAAGCAAAGGCCGTGTGTGTGTGTGTGTGTGTGTGTGTGTTTGTGTTTGTGTGTAAGTCTGTGTGTTATTCCTTGACGAGTCGATAGATGTGGTGCTGTGCGCCGTGCTCACTGTTGGACACCTCGAACACACATGCCATACACAGCAAGGTCTCCTGAGTGTCTCTGTTGCTCACAACCTGGACACACACACACACACACACACACACACACACATGCACGCACGGAGAGGAAAGAAGGGATAAAAAATGTTTTATAATGTGTAAAGGTTGAATATGTATGCACACTAAAAAATAACACTCCTTTATCTGTACTATGACACACAGACTGATGTCCTCACCAGCAGAATAGTGAAGTTCTCCAGCACACTGTTCATCATGTATTTCTCAGGCAAGTGTTTGAGCTTATGGATGAAGTTGATCATGTATTCACACATCGGAGAGCGGTTGATTCTGTAGACGAAGCGCCCGTTTTCAAACCGCGCGTACTCCGTCTAAAATGAGAGGGGGAAATCGTTAAATAAAATTTTAATAACTGACCACATCAAGAGTTGTTTAGTTTCTTCTGTGCATCCGGCCTGAAAAAACAACCTTGATGATGTTGCAAGGGGTTATTTATATCAGGATTTATACATTTAGAGTAGAAAGGATGTGGTGCAAAGCAGCAGAATAGAGTTGGAAAGAAAGACCCGCGAATTTACAAGGCGGGGGGGGGGACTATGAAGTTGCATTGTGGGATGTGTGAGATCCAGTGTTTTTTGTGCTTGTCTCATATGTGGTGATAAAAGTCAGGATATCTCAGCCTTTGCTGTCCTCATTTTGACCTTTCTTTATGAAATCTCAGTCAAGTCTCAGTAGCACAACTTTATGGATGTACAACACTAAATCACTTGAGTAGTTTTAATATGGTTTTCTATAACAACTTGTGAGCCCCTGATTTCAAGCATCTGTTTCCTGAAAGATTTGAATGGCAACATTTTTCCTTATTGCATATTCGTCAAAAAGCATATGAAGGACCTCAAGTTAATACCTGACTTTGAGTTCCTCCAGTTTTTTTGCTCAACCACAGTGTCTAAATATATTTGAAGTGAGTTTATGTGTAAAACCCATCACTTTCTGTGAGTCAGAAAATCTTCAATGACATGGGGTTTTAAGGCGGGCAAATGTTAAACTTCCATGAAAACAGAGCACAGCAGACATTATGAAAATATCCTAGATTACTACTGTAAACCAGAGTGCACCACAACAATTTGTATCCATCCTCACCTCCACCTTCTCGACCACCTGCTTGCCGAAGGAGCAGACCTTGGTGGAGCAGGTGATGGTCATGTTCTCTGAGCTCTCGTATTGGCTGGTGACACCGTAGAAGGCCCCAGGGTCATCCTGCATGTTGTGATTAAGGTCCGCCTGGAAAACACAGACCAACGACATTACTACCTACACCATTAAGGACAGTACAAATGTCACTACTCAAACCCATGTACACTCCCAGAAACACGAGAAAGAACATGAAAGGCAGCGCCGGCCGCTTTCTACTAAAGTAAGCCAACAGTGCCCTCTGCTGGTAGCTCAGTCACTGAGCCATAAAGTGCTCAAACTGCAACTTCTTTAGCATCAGGACAACTGACTGGATCCCCTTATTACACTGCTAAAACTTACATCAAAAGGTCAACTGCTAGTCTAAAATACATCTGTCCTAATTGGGCCGCATGTGGAAAAAATTATGTGAAATAGTAGCTCAATTTCCATCAGGTGAAGGGACAAAATAATCAGTCAATTTGCCTCTGGATCTCTAATGATCTATTGTTTACAGGTGCAGAGTGGTGTGCTGGTCTGGCCTGTTTGAGACTAAACCAATCAGCTTCTCATTACTGTAATTATTTTTTGCAGTACGTTCACGTCTGACATAATGATATAGTCATTGTCCATTTCAAATCACACCTAGTAGGTGGTAGCTGTTTGTAAAAGTGTTTTTCAGCACTGTGAGCACCACTGACAAAATTCTATTCCCCTTCATTGTATCGGGGAGGAGGCAGAAATCTTAGAGATGGTGAAAATATGTGACGCTGCAGTTTGGATGAACTGATCCTTTAAAACAGCTGTATTTTTATCCAAGCCTTTGGTAGCAGATTTGTTCATGCGTAATGTGACTTTTGCAATATATATAAAGAGATACTAATCTACTTTCTAAAAACACTGGACGATACACTACAATGCAAAAACAATATTCTTTTTGTCACTGAAGTTGTTTCATCAGAGCAGTGAGGACATGCTGCACCTGGATTACAGGCTGAAAGAAGTTGAGAGGGGTTTGTACTGTTTGTAATGAGTTCTCTGAGGGGCACTGTGTGTCTCAGGGCTGAGAAATCACGCACACACATACACACCATATGCTAAGTCACCCACTTGTACATTCATTCACACGCACACACACACAAACATCAAACTGTGCTCTATTAAAGCACCAGATTATCAGAAATACGCTCCATTGTGGTAGATCAGAGAGCTTTTTAATTAAATTCAGAGGGGAGGCTCTCTACACGACACACAAACACACACACACACACACACACACACACACACACACACACACACACACACAAAGTCTCTTTGTTTGTTTTCATGCTACAATCAAATCTCATCACTTCTACATTTATTGTATACTGAACCCACTTGCAGGCTTCTGCCCTCCTCTGCATAGTGTAAGGAATGGATTACATAGCTGCAATCTGTCTGCTGTATGTAAGATGCAATTGTTAGCACGTCCTGATAACTAACTTAACCAAGGGTTACTTCCAAAGCCAAGGAGCATTCCACATTAATATGTGGAGTTACAAGCATAAGTAAAAAATAAATAAATAAAAAATAAAAACCTTCACAATAGCTCATCTCCTCTGTAGTATTTCCCCTCTGTGTGAAAGCCAGCCCTGGATGCTATCAGAGTTAAGAATGATGTTAGTGACAGCTCTGTCTTGCTCTTTATTAGATCTGGACAAGTTTACACTCCAGCTACCCCTGCCAATGTTACCTGAGGCAGTGTTTCCTTCACACATTGGTAAGTTCTCATCCTAAAAGCCTTTTCGCTTGTAACATCAACAGTGAAACATACGGTTTAATAATACAAACAATAAAGCACAACTCTAGCTAACTTTTGTCTTGCTCTAGTACAGGACTGGTCTTACATTGTTTCTTATTATACTTGTAATACGTCTCGGGTTACGTATGTAACCCTGGTTCCCCGAGAAGGGGAACGAGAGACTGCGTCGGTTACGACACTATGGGAACGCCTCTAGGCGAAGCAGGTCTGAACGTGAATGAAATCACTCCAATCCTATTGGCCTGTTGCTAGAACGGTAAGGTGTGACGGAATAACCGGAGGAGTATAAAGCACACCTGTACACACTCATCATTAGCTTAAACTATGAAGCAGGCGCTTCAGGCGGGGAGAGAGGTGCGGCGGACCGACGCAGTCTCTCGTTCCCCTTCTCGGGGAACCAGGGTTACATACGTAACCCGAGACGTTCCCCTTCGAGGGAACTCGAACTGCGTCGGTTACGACACTATGGGAACGAGATACCCACTAAACCGTGCCGAAACCCCGCCTGCCCCTGTGTGCAATAAAGTGGCACTACTAAGAGGAGAGCGCACGAGTGCCAGGTGCCGAAGGAAGGTCAAGACTGTAAAACCGAATGAATGTGTGCGGAATGGCCCAGCCAGCCGCTAAACAACATCCTGCAAGAGGCCCCGGAAAGGAGGGCTCGAGAGGCCGCCTTGCCTCTGGTAGAATGAGCCCTCACAGCCACAGGTGAAGGCAAACCGCGCACCTGATAGGCCAGGGAAATAGTCTGAACAATCCAGTTGCTAATAGTATGTTTGGATGCAGGGAGCCCGGCCCTGGGAGACCCAAAACACACTAGCAGCTGGTCAGCCTTCCTCCAACGGGAGTACCTCAGAGTGTAAATACTCAGTGCTCTGACAGGGCAGGCAGATGAAGTCTCCCGTCCTCCGCCGTCACATGAGGTGGAGGATGAAATGCCTGCAGCACTGTGGACCCTGCCGCACAAGAAGGCACTTTAGGGATGTATCCTGGACGAGGGTGCAGGATAGCCCTAATATTCCCCGGGGCAAACTCCAGGCTTTGCGGGGAAACCGAAAGCGCTTGGAGATCCCCCACCCTCCTCAGAGAGGTGATAGCAAGGAGAAAGGCCATCTTGAGGGTCAAGTGCTTAGCCTCAGCTGACTCTAGGGGTTCGAAGGGGGCCTCAGCCAACGCCCCAAGAACCACCGCCAGATCCCAAGGGGAACCTTGGACCGAGTCGCAGGTCTCATCCTCCGGGCACCACGGAGGAAAAGTACAACCAAGGGAAGTTTCCCCAAGGACCCCTCCCTCAGAGGGGTGTGGAAAGATGAAATAGCTGCCACGTACACCTTGAGGGTGGAAGGGGAAAGACCAGCAGAGAACCGGTCCTGGAGGAACTCAAGTACCTGAACCACCGGGCAGGTAACAGGGTCCACCGACCGCTCCCTACACCAAGTGGAGAAAACACTCCACTTCAGGCCGTACATCCTCCGTGTGGACGGGGCCCTGGAGCTCAGGAGGGTCTGACTGCTCCGGCTGTTAGACCCGCCTCTAGGTACTGTGCCCCCTCAGGGGCCAGACCCACAGTCGCCATATGGCGGGGCAAGGGTGAAGAACCCGGCCCTGCGCCTGGGACAGCAGGTCTCTCCTCAGAGGGACCCGCCACGGCGGGCCGTCCAGGAGCGACATGATGTCCGAGAACCACACCCGGGTTGGCCAGAACGGGGCTACGAGCAGTAGGCCGACATAGTCCTGGCGGACCCGCTCCAGAACCCCGGGAGCAGAGCGACTGAGGGAAAAGCGTACAGACGTAGCCTCGGCCACGAATGTACCATGGCGTCCAGACCCAACGGGGCTGGAGGAACGAGAGAAACCATAGCGGGCAGTGCGTAGTCTCTTGAGACGCAAACAGATCCACGTCTATGGGGCCGAACTCTTCGCACAAGAGCTCCACCACTTCGGGGTGAAGTCTCCATTCCCCGGGCCTCAGCCCCTGCCTCAACAGCAGGTCTGCTCCCTGATTCTGTGTCCCCAGGAAATACATCGCCCTGAGCGATAGTAACCTCTGCTGGGACCACAGGAGGATCTGACGCGCCAGTCTGTCCAGAGGGCGCGAGTGCAGACCGCCCTGGTGATTCAGATAGGCCACCACCGCTGTGTTGTTCTACTCGGAACGAACCAGGACGTGGTGGCCTTGGAGATCGGGCAGGAAACTCCTTAGAGCCTGGAACACCGCCAACATCTCGAGACAGTTGATATGCCACTCGGATCGATGCACCTGCCAGGATCCCCTTGCAAAGCGGCCATCCATGACCGCGCCCCAGCCCGTGAGGGAGGCGTCTGTCGAAATAACCAGCCGGCGACAAGACCCTCCCAGCACGGGCCCCTGGGACAGGAACCAAGTTTCCTTCCAAACTGATAGGGAACGAAGACACTTGCGCGTAACCCAAACCAGACGGAGAGGATTCCCCTCGGGGAAAAACCCTTGTTCCTTAGCCACCACTGCAGGGGTCTCATGTGCAGCAGTCCAGATGGTATTACGCTGGACGCAGCCGCCAGGAGACCCAACACTCGTTGAAAGTGTTTCATAGTGATGGCGTGGCCTAACTTCACCCCTTTCACGGCAGCCAATATGGTGTCGACACGTGCCGGAGACAATTGTGCCCGCATCGTTGTCGAATCCCATGCAACCCCTAGGAACGTAGCCCGTTGGGTGGGCGCCAGCACGCTCTTCTTTGCGTTGAGCCTCAGCCCTAAACGCCGCAGACGAGCCAGAACGACATCTCGATGCCGAACCGCCAACTCTCGAGACTGGGCTAGGATGAGCCAGTCGTCGATGAAGTTGAAATCCGGATGCCCCGGAGCCTCAGCGGGGCCAGTGCTGCATCCATACACTTGGTGAATGTGCTAGGGGAAGTGCCAGGCCGAATGGAAGAACCCGATACTGGTAAGCCACACCCCCGAAGGCAAACCTCAGGAACTTCCTGTGAGAAGGACGGATGGAGACCTAGAAATAGGCGTCCTTTAGATCTATCGTGACGAACCAATCCTCAGATTGGATGTGCGTCACGGTGGCGGGGATGATGAGCATCTTTAACCTGAATCTCCTCAGAGACCGGTTAGAACCCGCAGATCCAAAATAGGGCACGCAGCCCTCCGTCCTTCTTGGGGACTATGAAGTCTCTGTCTGGGGGGGAGACACGTTCCACGGCCCCTTTCCTCAGCAGAGTACAAACTTCCTGTCCCAACACCGGACCTTGCTCCGGGCGGACCACAGTCCAAACCACCCCCTCTCTTCTGTTGAATTTGGAGGGCGGGCTATGAACTGTAGTCGATACCCATCTATGGCAGTGCGCAGGACCCGCGGAGAAATGTTCGTCAGGCTCCGCCAAGCGTCTGCAAAGTCTGCCAACGGAACCAGCCCCTCGGGGCTGGTGGTCGGTGTCTCGTGTGATCTTCTGGTGGACCCCTGAAGCCCCAGAACGGCAGGGGGGAGCCGCCGAAGATCCACGGTGAGTGAGTCGGGATGCCGTCCGTCTGCAGACCCTCGGGGCAGGCAGTACGGTGCGGACTCGATGGTGGCAGGTGCGTCCTGAACGTGTAAACGGCGGGATAACATCACCTGTTGCCACGGCGGAGGGGACCTCGGTCGGCCTCCGGGGGGGGTGGGGGGGGTGCGGGAGGGGAGAAAGACTCCCCTACCCCGGTCTTCCCTGAGCTCCGTCGGGACTGGATGACGGTCCTCAGATCGCGTCTCTCAGACGGCTGAGGGTGAGAGCGCCGTCTCGCTGCCCCAGCTCCTCGGGGGGCCCCCGAGAAGCGACACTCTGCTTCCCTCCTCTCCGTAGGAGCTGTAGAGGGAAGGGACCTACGCCTGGCAGCCTCAGCTGCCTTGGGTCCAGACCGGCGAGGGAGGTACTGGCGGAACGCTTCGCACTGCGTCTAACGCTTCGTGGTTCTGCGAAGCTCCGCCAGATCTTCCTCGGAGGGACCCCCCCTCTGAACCATCTCCTGTAGCAGGTTGGCTTGGTAGGCTTGAAGCACCGTGGTGTGCAAGCTCGCACCTGCCTGGCCCGCTGGCATGTACGCCTTCCCCACAAGCGTGGATGTGGTGCGACATGGTTTGGATGGTAACGCCGGCTTCTCCAGGGAGGACGCAAGTCGAGGGGAGAGATAGCTCGCAAGCTCATCCTCCACCCGAGGCATCCTCCCATAACCACGGTCCCTAACCCCCATCACATTACTGTAGTTCAGTGATCGGGGTGTGGAAAGCCATGTAGAGAAGGGTCTGCCCCATGATTTACTCAGTTCATCATGTAAATCAGGAAAGAATGGCAGAGACCGGCGTGGAGGTGGCGTGTGGTGCTTAAGAAACCTTTCATCAAGCTACCACTAGCCTGTGGTGTCTGCTCCTCCCGTGGCCAGTTGATGTTGAGCTTAGCCACGGCTCTAGTCACCACCTCCAGCAGCACGTCATAGTCGGGCGCGGCCAGATGACGCCGCCCCGACACCCGGAAGTCATCGTCGACTGCGCTGAGCACGTCCGCCTCCTCGGAGTCGGATTGCTGCAGCGCCTCCGGATCCAAAACCGCGAGCGGGAGAAGCCGAGAACGGGCTCCCGAACGAGGAAAGGAAGCGTCGGAGCCAGCGGATGAAGGTCGGGAAAAAGCCTCAGCCGTCCCGAAATCCTCCGACAGATCACGCTGTGAACCCATGAGTGAAGCCGCCGGGCCGCCTCAGCGGCCGCAGGGCCCGCGCCACAGGGAAAACACATCCGGCCATCCTCGGAAAAGAGAGCCATGCTGTACCTCAGTACCCGCACGGAAAGGGCTTCGCAACGGGCGCAGGCAGCCCCCTCGAGAGCTGCCCGTGCGTGCTCCATCCCCAAACATGAGAGACACATCTCATGAGAATCTCCATCCGTGATGTACCGAGGGCAAGAAAAAACACACCTTCTGTACATCTGGTTGCCGGACATGCTGGTAGACTTCTTCTTCAGGTAAGACATACTGCTTGTAGGACTGGAGCTTTCTTCGAACAACGTACAGAGCGCCTGCTGAATAAAAAAAAGCTAATGATGAGTGTGTACAGGTGTGCTTTATACTCCTCCGGTTATTCCGTCACACCTTACCGTTCTAGCAACAGGCCAATAGGATTGGAGTGATTTCATTCACGTTCAGACCTGCTTCGCCTAGAGGCGTTCCCATAGTGTCGTAACCGACGCAGTTCGAGTTCCCTCGAAGGGGAACTTACTAGTTCTACATTGCAATAAACTGTTTCTTTGTTTCCTGTCTTCTACATGGAGCTTTCACAGGGGAGGATGCTGACTTTTTGCCTCAGTCTTTTAGCACAATATCATGAATGTGGGTGGCAAGTTCCATTTTAAGGCCGTTTTACAGGCTTGTTGTTTTAAAATGAGTCTGCGGGATACATGGAAAAGTCAGCTGCTGTTGGCATTCTCAACCAAGTAATGCAGGCAAATCTGTCAACGTTAAACTACACAGGCTTGTTCTATGTGCTGTGCAAAAAAGCAAAGTTTGACAGGCGCAGCAACAGTAACAGAGCTTTTACTCCACCATTTCAAAGCAAACTCAAAAAGTGACTCCATTATGACATAGCCAAATGTAATGCTGTAAACTGAGTGCGAGACTGTCCAAAGAAATATTTAAGTAAACATACAATTTAAGCCAGGATTTAAGTCCTAGACCAATTTGAAAGATCATAAAATCTGGCTTGTCACATGTCAACCACTTGAGAAATGAAGTCTGAGACTCTTATTAGACTATTTGATTAGATTGATTATTCTGATAGAAAATAAATGAAAGTGTGTGATTCATACTGTTGGTATACTGCAGCTCTGAGAAAACAGTAAAGTGACACACACACACATGTGAAGACAGAGCAACTTGTGAGTCAGGAGGTGAGCAGGTGTTCAAACAAAGCGACTGTGCTTTCATCAACCCACCACCTCCATATCCCAGGTGGAAAGGCAGAACGTGTACACACACACACACACACACACGCACACACACCTGTAAATACAGACAAAGGCATGGCACTGGGTGGAAAAATACAGGGAAAAAAGTGTGTTGCGTGCTTACCCTGCTGACTGATGACCAAAAGCATTTCCAAAAACAAAATTAAGGAAAAAAAGTATAATAACAGTATTTTGTAAATGTTGAAACACTATCCGAGGCCTCGCTCATTTTGGATGGGTGTGAATCTGGTATAGAGAGGAAACAATATGAAAACAAACTCTCGTGTGAACAGGAAGTAGGCAGGAGTGTGTCTGCTCACCCAGAACTTGATCAGGTAGAAAGCGTTTTGCGGGCCTTTGCCGAACAGCTCCTTGAGGCCGCCCTTCTTCTCGGGGAACTTGTCGTAGATCTGCCTGATGTCCACACACTCCAGCAGGGGGTCGCTGTAGCTCGGGCTGCTCTGGCTGATGTGCACAAACAGGTGCTTGTTGTACTGAGGGGAGGGAAACAGCTGAATTAGGCAAAGACTGACACAGAAAACGTGTAGAGAGATAGAGAAGAGCTGATCTCACCCAAGGTGAAACAACAGCAAAAGAGAGACTGACAGAAACAACACAGTGGCTGAGTCCGAAATCCCCACTCATTCACTACTCCCTACCCACTATCTAGGGAGTTGTATGTAGAGGCCTATATAGTGAGCGCACTCGCATTATTAAAACAACACTTTCGTTATTTTGGCGCCGTTAATTACATCATTGCCGTCTGACAATCAGTTTTTTCTATCAGCGCAATGCATGACACTGACATGACACTAACACTGATGTGAGCAATGTACATTAAGAATGCAATAATAAAAATGTTTTGTAGTGAAGGAAATACATCTGAGGTGTTTTTAAGGCTTAACTAATGCGCACAGTGTGTTTTACTGAGAAACACTGATTGTAAACATAACTCTTTACAAGAAAACTCCACAAAGTATGTTTAACTTGGGGAGTACATTTTTTCAAAACCGAGAAGAAAAATTAGACCCAGGTCTAGGGCTTTGAAAGAATAAAGTGTTCAAATAGCAAATTTGAATTATAACTTACATTATTAACAAGCTGTAGGTTAAAATGTCAAAGTTTTAAACGACTTGTATAGTTATTATGTCACAAAAAACACTACTGTAATAATGTATTATTGAATTGAATTGAATTTTTTTGGAAACTAACTAGGGATTTGACATTCTCCAAAAGCACAATAACAAGCAACAACGAAGTTACTAATTTATTCTCTTAGATTTGTTCATGTAGAAACAAGATATATTTGTGATTATAAGCTCCTCATGAGTAATACTATGCTGACCACCAATACACACCTGGACTTTATGGAAAATAATCAGCCACTGTAAATATCAATCAAATGTGATCAGAAAAATCCCGATTAGATATTTTTCTCAAATCATTCAGCCCTTCCTCCTCAGGTTGTAAAGTAATTCCTGATTTTCATGTAACCATTACCATGCACGCGACTGTAGTCACCTTTGTCTTTGGGTACCATTTTAGCTACATGATATATTTTCATTGCAATGAAATGTTTTTACCTGTGAAGCCCTCATTTACGGTAATGTACAATTATGCAGGTAATGTGACACATTTTGACAACAGAGCCTTTTTCAGTGTCAACATTGAACAGTTTGAGGTTTTTAACTGTCCAAACAGAAAGCAACAAGATGAATGCCAGCTGTCTGTGAGCCCGAGGTAGAAAAATGACAGGGAGTCCACAGTGTGGCAGGATGACAGATAGGCTGAGCAGACAGAGAGATAGAGCTTTACAAAGGTTATTCATACTAGGATACGCACAAAGGGCTTTAACGCTGTTCTCTGCTGTGGGGTTATCTGTCATCTCTGTTTACGGGACAATAGGGAGTGCTTATTGTAGACTGATGCTCTGTGTGTGTGTGTGTGTGTGTGTGTGTGTGTGTGCGTGGTACTCACTGCCTCCTGGTCCCTCTGTGTCTCCAGGAAAGATGAAAACTCCACCAGTCGTAGTTTGGTGGTGCCAATGGAGCGACCCTGCCACGCCGGCTCTCTGTGTGTTTGGGGCGCAGCGGGAGGCTCGTAGCCTAGACAACACACACACACAGTCTTTTTAACCTTGCTTCACCACTGTCATCATGTACAATCATCCTATTTAACCGTGTTAGCAGTATGCTAGCATTATTCTTTGCTACAAACGTGAAAACTGTGTGCCATTACTGGAGTCTCATGGACAAAGCCCGACTGAGGTGAGGTTGCAGCGCTGAAAAGCACTTAACAAAAGTAGATGTAAAGGGGTAACAATGATGAGGACGCAGTGAAAACTCTTGGACACTGAATCAAAGCTCACGCAATCCATTTCGCTTTGTGGTATTCCAAATGACAGCTGCCATCGCACACTTTGAGTAAAATTTACAACCCTGCAGATGTTAAAAATGTATTGTGAAATATCAACAATGAGTCAAGTGACAAGTTGCTTTCCTTAAATTCCTAAAATGCAGCTTTTGTTGACCCATACTGTAGTTAGTCACATAGCCGGATAAGCCCACTTGTGAGCCCTACAGTAAGAATGGGCAGCATGTCCATACTAAAGTCTCGCAAAGCCTGAAACTGAAAATTTTATTCTCCTCACTTTTTGACTGAGAAAATATGTCATTGATACAACGATTTTAGATAATGGTTAACAAAGCCTTTCTTTGTATCTGATAGAAGTGAAGTGAAATTATAAATAATTGTTGGTGGCCAACAACACAAGTAGCACACCAATCAAATTACATTGTCAGTGAAAATTTACACCCCCTGGAGAACACTAATGTATGGGACGCTATCACGATGCTGCTACAATTATTATTATTACTAGTCCTATTATCATAATCATTAATATTGATATCATTATTGGTATCGTTATTCATTTTCATTCATATCTGTACCACTACCACCATTACTATTGTTATACATTGGCTGCCCACCCGGAGTCTAGGTTCTTCTGTTAAAAGAAAGTTTGTCCTTGACTGTGTCACCAAGTGCTTGCACATGTTGGATCTCTGTAAATAATATTACAAAGGGTGCAGTCTGGACCTGCTCTATATGAAAAGTGCAATGAGGTACCTTCTGTTATGAATTGGCCCTTATATAAATAAAATTGAACCGAATTGAAAAACTGAAAGTGAGAAAAGTCAGATTGACACCTTTTCATCTTTTTGACCTCTTCCCAAGACAAACCTCAGGGTGCACTGGAGACCTGGGTGCCCAGAGAGAGTGAAAAACCACCCTGTAGAGAGCCAGTAGCCTAAATGGTAGGAGAGAGGACCGCCTGTTCGCTTTACAGAAAGGAGATAATTGTACCGTGGTCCCTCTCACCTGAGATTGTGGTGGTCCCTGCTGTCTGCACAGAGTAGGCTTGCTGAGAGAACGGCTTGATGCTGAGAGAAACAGAGACACAGACAGACAGACAGGAGGGCATTAAAAGGGCTGAAAGAAGACAGACACAGTAGGGCCAGTCACATTGTACCTACATTATACAGAGAGGAACTCTGTTCGCTGTCTTGTATGAACAGTAGCAGGAGCACAAGGTCAAGAGCGTCTCTGAGTTCAGTAAAAGCTATACCAGCCCCATTTACTACCATTATCATCATCGTCACATGGTCATGTAACAGCAGCTGGAAATGAAACCAAAAGGGCGTGAAGGATCCTCACTAGCCATGTGAACAGAAACGAATGCAAGATATGGAAACACCACCAAATTTGGTTTCTTACATATCAGCTGAGATCATGCCTGATGGATGCATGAACAGACACAGCCTGGTGTGCATTTTGAGGTCATGAATGTGTTTTGTCACTTCAGATGGTCCAAGTGTGAAACATGACAGATAATTGGATGATTACCATGGCACAACTATACGTTTGTCCCCGGCCAATCACATCTTTCTGTCTTTTACATAGGTGACCATTAACGTGCCAGGGGCCCACTGCACTGTTACAACTGACAGTACCAACAACAAATGTTTACATTATGTTGAACCCATTATAACCTGGAACCACTCATCACTCATCATCAGTCATCACTGAACGATGTAGGTGGACTTTGCCCTTTTCCTTCCCACTTGGTGTAAAGTGTAAAGTTATCAACAGTGACAGTCTGAAATGTTGTCTTACACACATACGTTAGGTATAAAAAAACAAAAGCAGATCACTAACTAGCTTAGCGGCTACCAAGAGAGTTAGAACAGCTGAGCCTTTAGGGTAAACTGAATTCAGTTTATCAAAGCAGTGACACAATTCAAAGCTGAAAATCAGTAACTAGGTTAGAGTGTGACTTACTCTTCTGTGGTAGAGCTGGACTGTCCTCCAGGAATCATCCCCTGCCACAGCTGAAAATACACAAACACACACACACTTTAATACACTGGACTGAGGCTGTATACCATGAATGCAATACAATGTGTGTGTCTGTGTGTTGGTGTGTGTACCAGGACTTCAAACTCAGCATATGTGGCCACCAGATTGTATAAAAAATTATTATTCTTGTTCTTGTGTCTCCTGTGTGTGTGTGTGTGTGTGTGTGTGTGTGTGTGTGTGTGTGTGTGTGTGTTACCTGTGCATTGCTGGGGAAGCTGGCCCGTACTATTCCAGGCAGGAGCTTGCTGTGTATGGCGGTGGCTGAGACAATCTGAGCGGAGGACATAGAGGAGATGCTCTGCAGAGCCTTCTCCTTAGCATTCTGGTCCTGCACGGCAACAAACACACACATTATCATCATCATCATCATCATGAGTACACTTCTGGTCCTATACAATCTAAACCCAAAGTGAAAGCAAATATCAGGGCACTGCACAGCGGCAAAAACAAAAGTTATGAAGAACAATTTGAATTATCATTGCTACCAAAGGCCTGAAGGGAAAAATCATAATAGCTGTCATTCTCCTCCTAGCTGTAATTATCTGACTGGTTGTGAGGACATTGGCGCCTCCTTATACTATCTGATTATACAAATTGTAATACAGCAATTTGAGTAAACTGCCCAATATGGAGCAGCTCATTTGCCAACAGTACAACACTGGAAAACAGCAGAGGCACTTAGAAATTGGAAGCTTTGTTTGTGTCTTCTAAAGGAACTTAAGAGCTAAAACGTATTTACAAATGATAAGACACTGATTAAAAAAGCTGCAGGAAATATCAGTAAATACTCCAAAAAAAAAACAGGACACTCAAGTATTTGCAACAGTTTAATGCTTTTGATGATGATCTTGACGATCAGAGCTCCCCAGGCTGAGCCGGGGGGGGGTAAGGGTAAGGCCTTGTCAACTTTAACCTTTTAGATACCAAAAGGTTCCTGCTGGAAGTGGCTCACCTGGTTAACATGGAATTAAAGAGTTTGACCTTGCTTTGTCATTCAATCATCAGCAAAAATCCAACAGTAATCAGTGGGCGACCATATGTGTAGTTCATGTCTAAATTCCCTGTTTTGTCTAAAGCTGGCTCTCAGGTATATTGAAGATGATTTAGTGAATACACCTTTCTCTGTATGTTTGGGTGTGGTGATCTGGCTTGTGGCCCGGGGTGGGGGGTGGGGGTGGGCGGACGGTGGAAGTCATAGCAACAACAGTGTTGAGCGTTGAACACAAAGGCGTGCAGCAGATCTAAATGTGCTTCACACACCACAGTGAACATCATTGATCGGGGGATCAGGGCAAAAAGTTCCATGTTGAAGATTTACAGTAAGCTTGAACTTGTAGGCTCATTTGTAACATCTGAAATCAATGCAACATGAAACTCAAAAACAGCTGAATGAAATGGAATTAGACAGTCTGCAATAACTGGAGAATTGCTAATTGGCAGCTTCACTCAAGTTAATTGGCACTGAGAGAAATCTCTCCTCCTAGGGGAGGTAATAACATTATAGGAGATACCGAGATGGGAATTATGTTGGATTTTCATATTAAATACCGGGAACCATATGGGTTAGATAACATCCTTGACCTGAACTCATTTCTTTGAAACGACCAACCCATATGTTTTGGTTTTAATGTGAAATTCAGCAGCAGGGAAAGGCTCTTACATCACGTTCCACTGGACAGAATGACTGTACAGCATTTTTCGATGTGTTATTAGTAAATCCATGATATGTAGTGCTGAGAAAATCCATTTATCACATTAGTTTTTTTTTTAGATAATTTATTAATCAAGTAATTAATTTACTGAAAGACGGGTTGGTGTTATTCTATATTTTCCTTACTGCCAACAAGTCCCATGAAAAGACAGAAAGCAATGTGTCAGTCCAGCTCTCAGTACTTTTCACCTACATTCCTGTGTCTGTGACTCTCAGACCGTTCATCTCCAATGAAGCCGCAAATTCTTTAAAACCGGGTCACAAATCTAAAGTTTCATATGGTGGTCAATATAGTTTTTAGCAAGTGTTACTAAAAACAGGAGTAAATGGTGCATTTGTTGGGGACTATTTTCAGATGTGGATGAATACACATTTGGTGCCATAGTGAACATTTGGGACGGAAGGTCGGCATATGTGAGATTGACTCCAAATAAATACAATGCCCATGTTCACGGTGATGGAAGAACATGTCACCTGGTGCAACAGTGTGGCTGATGGATGTGTTTTAATAGATTCTGGACAATAATGAAAGTCTAGAGGCAGGGGGAGAACAGATATCAGTCTGTGGATACACACACACACACACACACACACACACAATACTAGGATCAATACACTGATCCTTGGTTTTGTGGGAAATTAAAATTGATTATAAAAATATTCCACAGATTGATTGATAATGACACTTTTAATTAGCTGTAGGCATAATGATCTACTCTATAATAAAAAGCTGTAATTAATACTGTCTTTCAAAAAGTCAAAACGTGGTAGCTAGGATCGCATCATCATCATATTAGGCGTTTCCTTTTTATTCAGTTACAGAACAGTCCAACGTTGACATGCCCAAATGTAAATATCAGAGGAATTTAGGTTGCGTCCCCCATTTTGTATGTAGCTTAGAATATCTCACGTTACAAAATATTTTTTATTAAACAAAGTGTATAATGACACATTTCCATTCTGCTACATTGAACCATTTTTACAACAGAATGTGATTCCTAATATAGTTTTGAAGAGACTATGCACATATACTGAATCAACAATAGCACTTTAGTATCCTGTATGATCGATCTATATTGACTCAAATAACCTTTATTTAAATTGATAATTTAATCAAACATCTGTAATTTCTTTTGACAGCAAACAATTCAGCTTCGCTTTGTTTCTATTTGGCATTCTGACTGCTCTTTGCGGAAAACAAGCGCTCCTTTGTTGCTTTATATTAAGTTAATTACGACCAACAGAGAGGAAGAAAAAGAAAGGGGGAGAGAGGGAGGAGGATACATGGAGGGTAAGAGATTAATAGACCAAAAGGAGGGTGGAGACAGTGTAAGAAGAGGGAGGCAAAAGGAGAAGAACAAATGAATGTATGTATGGCTATAAGAGAAGAAGGAAGGGAAGGGGGTAAAAACCTTAGCGGGCCCAATTAGACACCTAGGATACTGGAGTCACTGTGACAGGCATCCTTCCAGCCACGGTGAAACGTTAACAAGCAAGGGACAGACAGAGAATTCAGATTGCTTTTGTGCATTATGTGGTGAAGTAGAGAAAGTAAAATGGTTCCTAATGATGCCTCAATATGCTTCAGGACAGCTTTATTTCCTATCTATTTAAACAGCAATGTTCTACATTTTCATGGTGCCAATTGCTGCACTGAACTGTCCAAAAATCCCTTGTTTGTCAATGTATTAAACACTGTTTTTCCTTATGGTTTCTGTTAAAGTGGTTCAAGTGTCTGTAGGTGGAGGATTTTTTCAAAGAACCACCGAACACTGAGTGTAAATGCTCTGGATTACAATCCTCCTTACCTTTAATTTGGATTGAAACTCCCTGGATTTTCTTCTGGCTAAGACCTGGATATGACTGGATACCTGAGAGGAGAGGAGAGGAGAGGAGAGGAGAGGAGAGGAGAGGGGAGGAGAGGAGAGGAGAGGAGAGGAGGAAGGGGGTTGGAGGGTAGAAAAGAGAAGAGGAATGACCAAACAGTGAGTTGCCATGGTTATGAAAGGACTATTGCCACACTGGAAGGAAACACACATACACACACAAACTACTCCCCTGACAACAGTGAATAGACCCATCTATGCACATCTTTTGAGAGAGCAAAAAGACACCTGGGAACATGGGCCAAGAACTAAGATACTAAGATGACACTACATACAGATGGTGCCACCCTATGTTCTGTCAAGAAATCGAAAACAAATGTATTTCACAGGGTAAACAGTGATCTTTTAATAGAACATACTATTGAAGAGCACAAAAGCCCAGAAATATTTCTAAGTTGCTTCTGCTGTATAACATTACACATAAGCACACCAGCATTCTCGGGTGCAACAACCATGATGAATGAACTTCTGAAATTGACTTCAATCCAAGAACTCCACAGAAATCAATCACAATCACCTACACACGGTAGCTGTTGGGCTCCATTAGCACCCATAACTCTGAGCAGTCAGTGACATCAGTGTCAGTAAGTAAAAGTGTTACTATATGGACAGCAATGTAATAATGTGATTTTCTTGTATGGTTGCTAACATTGCATGTTTAGTGTAGCTGCTAACTGTAGCTATAGCCAGTAACCTTGTGTTGCCTGACTCTTTCTAGTAGTACAAAGAAGTCATGTTTGGTTGTCGTGCATTTTAAATTATGTATTATTATTAATTATGTTATAATATCTTTACCAGTAAAACACTGATGCAAATGTGTGCATTTCAGGGAAAGTGCAGGCTGCCAACACAGCCAGCTGTTGCTGGCAACTGTGCAGAGCATTGGGCTGCAGTTGAACTTAATACTGTAAAGTGTGAAAGGCAACTGTTTAAAACAGTTTCTGTAAGCAGGAAAGTGACATTTTGTGCAAACTTGGGAAATATTCTACATGTTTTTGTAAATATAAAAAAAATTAAAAAATCAAAACCAAACAAATGATAACCTCACAGATCTTGCAAAATATCACTTAACCATTTTGTTTATGGTATTAAGTAAGACCACCTTTCAAGTTTTTCCCGATTGATAAAAAAAAAAGGACACATCTAATCTTAAGTGCAGCTTTAAATTGCTTTCATTTTTCGCCGAAACCATTGACCATTACAGTTCAGCTTTTCTTTTGATCACTGCGGTTAGCACCATTTCCCTCATTATATCTGTATAATGTGATATGCTGTGATGTATGCTGTAGACAGTATGATTGGATTTAATGCACACTCCCATTATTACCTGTTTCCTTGTCCGCGTCTTGCCTGTTCGGAGCTTGATGTATCTGGCTATCAGCTCATTTCGACCTGGAGGGAAAAGACACAGAACATACTGATGAAACATGCATGCAACATACACACACACACACACACACACACACACACACAAGCAGAAATCATATGACCCCGACAAACAACTTAGTGCCTGATTTAGTGCTGTTGACCCAGCGACCCTGTGAGTGCAGTTTCACAAAGTAGTGTTGTAATCACCGATACCCCTGTTGCTGTAGCCCTCCACACATACACACACTAACATGCACATACACAGCATCACACACGCCATGGCCCTGAATACACATGACCCAACAATACAGGCATTCATGCAGACCGGCCGTCCCCTGATTAAAGGAACCAGCAGCCCAGCTGTACCCATGCTATGCACATATGCGCGCTCACACACACACACACACACACACACACGCTTACAATGCTGAATAATTCAACCCATTCAATAGGGAGCACAGCAGACTCAGCATGACCTGGCTAGTATAGATTAGAGAGAGGGAGAGAGAGAGAGAAAAGAAGCAGAAAACAACAGCGTCACATTCAGAAAACCTGTGACAGAGAAGTGTGTGTGTCAAAATTCAAAGATGGTGGTTAAATATTTTATGAAATTATGTAATTTGACTGTTATTCCATTTGCTAACAAGCATGTCTGGGGCTCTGTGGCTTAGTTTGGTTCGTCTCCTGGCCTGTTTTCTGTTCCAACCAAGTGGAAAACCAAAGTCAGGCCAGCTGGCCAACTGATGGTCAAGATCAGCACAAAGCCAAACCTCTACACACTACCCAAATGGCTCGCAACAATAGCCCTAACTAACTAGCAGATGGTGTGTGTGCATGTGTATTTGTGCGTGTGTGTTCTGACCAATCCCACTCTCATGGAGATAGGGAGCTTAGACTGATAAAATCTACAGCTCCCCATGCAGGTGTTTTCCTTCTAGCAGTCAAAAGCTGCCACTGAAGCAGCACACATGCAAACACACACACATATATACATGCATGAGTGCCAACACACACACACACACTCACAGAGTGAGTCCTGGCTGTGGAGGCTGACATCTGACTCCAGAGGGGCCAGCTGGTCTTTCTAGGAGGCTTAACGGTGAATTATCATCCTTCACTAACCCTGCGGCACACATCCCTCACTCTCGCCCTCCCTCTTTCTCAAAAACTCTCCAGCAAACACACACACACACACCCTTGCTCCCTCCATCCATCTATCCTCTGTTCTGGCTGTTATTTTTCCCCCCCTCCTCTTTCCCTCTTATAGTGAATGGGCTTCCCTTCTGCTCCCTCCCTCTTCCTCTCTCTGTCTCTCTCTCTCCCTCTCCACTTGCCCAGTGAAAGACTTCAAGGCCAAAGTCAGATGGTCATTAACCGTGACGAACAGAAGCACCCCCGCTCTCCCTCTCTCTGTCTCCAGGCTGAAGCCACTCTGTGTGCAAGCAGATACTGAGGGAGACAACGCACTCGAAAAAACACAGAATTCTCATGTCAGTTCTGTGATTTTGGGAGTACTCAGTGAAGACTCGAGAGCAAGAAAGAGCACAAAAAACATGAAGCAGACAAGAGGCGACAATATCATCAAAATCAAAAAGTGGCTGAATTTACAGTGAATGTGAATATGAGGTCCAAATGAGGTGATGAGAGGAGGACATGTGACTGAAATGTAATACTTTCCACTAGGCAGCAGCATGCAAACACCACACAAGAAACAAAACATCAATGATTTGTCTCTTGGCATTGTGAGAGCACAGACGCTTCCTGTACATTGTTTTGTCCTGTTTTCTAAAAAAAACAAGAAGCATTACTGTAGTAGTTTACTGTCTCTCAGTTAGCAGAGTGATTAAGAGCTTCAGCTGCTTTACAGAATAGCTCAAAAACCCTTTCAGAGTAAGTCCAAAGCCTTGCTGACTGTGCTCGCTAACAAGGCTGCAGTGCTGTGGCAGGTATTGTTGTGTACCCCGGGAAGACCTCAGAGAGCACAAGGGCCAAACTCTGGCCCGGAGCCTGGGTTCATCAAATGGCAGGTAGGAGTTTGTGCTGATTTCAAAATCCACAGGACAACTTAAGTAGTTCAGCGGGATTCCTCCCAAAGACAACCTGTCAATCATGCAGCATTCAAAAATGAGACATCTCTTGTGGATTTTGTCTTAATTGGAGTTTCTGGCACACTTTTAAGGTCTCTTAAGGTACAATGGCTCAAAACATCATCGCTCCTCCTACTGCACACAGTTAATCCTTCATTTCTTACAAACAAGCTGCCACTTCCTTTGATAAAAGTAACTGAACACTGGATATGTTTTTGCTGCCAGACGATGTCACCTGCAGAGTACAACATGTGGTGACATAACCTAACAAAAAAGATCAGCCAACAGCAGTTACAGTGGCTGCAAATGTGACTTATTTAAAAAGAGAATAAAGGAAAACCTTGGGATACTTGGGTCAGATGAAGACCTTTCCCCTTGTTGTGTGTGTAAGTGCCTGAAGAATGTTCTCTGTGACTAGTTTTATAATCCTTAAGAGGACCTTAAGGTTCATAGAAATTAACTGTATGTGAAACTGAGCAAACACGTGGCGTCTGTATTCATTTAAGGCTGGGTATTACTTGAACATTCAAGGCAAATCCCAATACAATAACTGAGTTTCAGCACGGACCCCAAAACAATACTTTCTTCGTTACCTACGTTTGGGGACCATCAACATGTTTTGACCCTTTTTGATTTAAAACAATTTTTTATCTTAACCATGGATCACATGATCACCCGTCTTGTGTCTTTCCTTTTTTTTTTGTTGCCAATTTACACATTCAGCAGACGCAGAGCAACATTAGGCTTCTTTACTGTTTTGGTTCAGTCTCATCTGATCTCATCAACCCTGTTTTGAGCAACAGCAGACAGCTGTTTTGACAGACAGACAGTGTAAGTGACTGGACGGTGAACACAGTGGAGCATTTTTTTACTAAATATAAAAATGATTCCAGGTTTAACAAAATATGCTTAACTGCTTAATGTTTGCAATAAAATAAAATATAGTCTCAAATAAGATATATAAGTTTCTGAAAGGACACTTCGGAACAAATAATCAGTAAAACACATTTGAAGCCTACTTTAGATACTTCACACTTTTAATCAAGTCTTTGAATACATACCAGACAGTATTCAAAGAATATTGAGGCTCAGTACTACTTAAAATAACATAGATTCGAGTTAGAAAATTTGATTGTGTTGAGTACTCCGATAGAAATGTTTTTTGTTTTTTTAAAGGATCAAAACCAATGCGGCAGCAGTAACCTTTTTTATTCCACACATTCTTCTTCCCTGTAAAAAAAAAAAATGGCACCTTCTGTACCCACAATGCAATGCAAGCACAGACAAATTGGCCCTAGATTCGGGTGTGTTAAACCAGTAGCGACTAATGTACAGACTAGGGCGGGCGTTACAGAGTTCTGGTAAGCTCCCTCCTTTCAAACTCCACACCCCACTAATTTTATTTTCAAAGTTGTACTCTTCAGCCCCAATCGACTTATGTGACATCACTTGAGGCAATGTTTTTTCATGTAGCTCCCTCTGGACCCACTAAAGGCTTTATACAACTGTTTACACGTGCAGTAGTATTCCCCAAGACCTGCAAAAAGAACTGTATAAAGGCGAAATCCACTGATTTTTCACATGTTCACCTAAGAGAATGTCTTTGCATTAGCTCCTTCAAAATAAATGAAATTCAGAGCTGAGAAACCAGTTCAACTTAAGTTTCTTTTGTGACATTGTCAGCATGCAGACTGAAAATAAGCCCTTTCAGCCCTGATGAAGGGTGTGACGCAACGCCTCTAGTTAGAGGAAATTCAGGTTCAGTTTTCATTAAAAGGGAACATAGGCATGTTTTATGCAATATGACAACAGTGGATGAAGACTGTACTGAAGATGTTGATGGGAGATTTTTGTAGTCTGCGTCACTGCCGCAGCATACACTTCCTCCATTACCGTTCACAGTATGTTGTAGCCTTCTGTAATACATCTGTTTTGAACATGTCCCTGATCGCAGCTTAAGGGACAGAGAAGGTTGTATACTGACTTTCATATCTGTCTAGTAGATCCATATGATGTTTCTGTAGGGGACAAAGCCACAGGCCATTATGTCGTACCTCTGCTGTACCTTTGCAAAGGATAATTGCACTATTATTCACCTTTTCATTCTCTCTGCCTTTTACACGCATCCATTTCAGATTTTTCTACGATTCTCTCCCACTAAGTTCCTCCCAGCACTTTTGCACATTTTCCACCTCTTCTTTTCTATTTCAGTCCATTTCCCTGTAGCCAAGGGGGGTATTTTAGATCCACATAGGTTCTCTCCCTGTTAGATATTACCTCTTTCTTTTCTGTGGGAATACTCACCCACCACTCATTTTACCTTTACTATGATGCTCATTGAAACCACAAAACCACCATTAATGACACTGGGGTTTGGATTGAACAGCAAAGAAAATAATGCCAAGTAAGTTTGTGCGTACAGTATGTTGCTTTAACGTAAGTAGAAAGACATAATTGTGCTTTTTCCTTGCAAAAGAATGAAGCAGCATTCATGAATCAAAATGTGAACATGTCCTATTCTGTATGCATTATGAGCCAAAAATAAAAACAAACTAGATGCTGTCTCATAATTCTAGTTTGCACAGATGTTCTAGTAACAATTAAAACCCCCTGGTCTCTACGCCAAACGCTGCTCATCCCTTCTCGCCATTTCGCCTTTCCTGCTCTGCTGCTGAAACAGACACCGTCTAACTCAATTAGGTCACAGTGATAAACGTGTCAACAACCTGGACACATGGTCAACAAGGTGAACAAACAGTGCTGAGTATGCCATAGAGGCAGAGAAGATTGTTAGAGTTAGATTGATTGATTGATTGGTGACTGATCAATAACACAAAATTTTAAATATCAGTTCTGTATGTCAGCAAGTCAGTTGTTGTGGCCAACAGTATGTGGATACACATGTCCATAACATACTGTTGTGCACTTGTGGACTGGGACTGTTTATCTGTTTTGGCCCCCTTTGTTCGAATGAAGAGAAAAATGCTGCAGTATGCACTGCTATTTTAGTTGATAGTTTGGTTTAAGGTCGTCAAAGCTACATTAATTTATATTTTTTGGCCACTTGGGGGCTGTGGAACAAGCTGTAAACACAACATTGACATATTATCACCATATAATGGTGTTAAGGTTAACGTGTTAGAAAACAGTTGCCTATTTATACATCCAACAGACACAGACCAACATTAGGATTCTTTAGGAATTGTCACACAACCACACCTGAGGGAAATACCTGGCTTTTTAGTTGTTAAATGCCCCGTTATGTTCATAAGCCAGAGGTCAACTTTGTCAGCTGTTCGGCCCTTTGGGTCTAGAAAAGCATTTTTCCAATTATTATAATTATTATAATTATCATTATTATTTGGTGCTGGACCAGTAGTGTACAGTGAGTTCATTCACAGAGGGTTTTTTCACTGATTACAGCTCCTGCTGCTGCTGGAAATGAGGATGATGAGAGCATTAAGAGTGAACTAAAACAGTAACGTTGTGGGCGTAAAATCAAAATAAACAAAATGACATTACAACTGAAGTTTCAAGTGGGTTTGTCCTACAAGCAACACTTTTCACATCCCACATTTTAATGTAAAAACATTGTTTAGTGGAGCTTTGAAGAGTAGTTTTGAAGAACTTGACTGGCCGGCACAGAGGCCTGACCTCAACCTAACTGAACACCTTTTGGATGACACGCCACACACTGCGAGCGGCCCACCCAGCATTAGTGCTTGACCTCATTAATGCTACAATGACTGAATGGGAGAGTCAGCGTATACATTTGGTTGAAATCTTCAGGTGTCCACATACTTTTGGCAATGTAGAGTGTGTTCATCAAGGTCTTGAGGCATGACTCCAGCAAGTGTGCAAGGGATTTAATTTAATACTCAGAAGCCTAAAAGTCAAGTAGTATCATAAAGAAATCACTAGAGTGCACTCTGCATACAGAAAGAGAGAAAATGAGAAGAAAAAAATGTGAAAGAGTGATAGAGAGAGGGAGGGAAGCGCAGCTGGTGGCACCCAGAGGACCATCTGTTCATCACTCTATTAGTTCACGCACACGCACATAAATACATATACTCTGTCAGTGTCACGCTCATTCTCAGATGCACACACATACACATGGTGCACCTATAGCTCACCTCTATTTCCTCTCTTTTAAAGTTCACCTTTCTTTCCTGTGTCTCTGACACTCGAGGCCCTGTGAGACGGCCCTCACACACAGTCGTCTACCTATAATTCTCACAGTCTGACACACCACAGCGCAGACAATCACTGGATGTGTTTATATCACTGGTTTAAATAGTGTCACACTCTTTAAATATGGTTCATATAAATACACAAAAGTGTCTGCTATGCAATGAAACTGAACTTCATTTAAAATATCCCTCCTATATGATAAAGATTAGCAACCAGGGATATGTCAAACACTCAAACAAATACAGTGCATCACACAATCATCATCACAATCATTTCAATTGAATATTTTGGTTTTGACACTGTTGAACTGTTGAACAAAACCAATGAACCAATTGAAAATGTCATCTTGATCATGATTGCTTTTCCACTATTTTCTGGCATTTTATAAAATAAAGCTTCCCTTCTTCAGTGACTCATAGCAGTTTACACCCAACTTCTTTCCGTCTCCCATCACTCACCGTACATCTTTCCTTCATCTGACAGTATAATCTTCCTCCTTCCACAGGGCGGGTAGATGGCCAGGGCCTCCTGAAAGCTCTGTTCAATGTCGGGGCTCCAGACCCCCTCAGGGTCCCCGTCCATGGTCTTATCCCCTCCTGAGTCACTCAGTCTGTCCATGTCCTCCCCTGCACTCTCACTTCCGCTCCAGCTACTGCGCTCCATACCAGCAGCTACGTTAACTACCTGACCTGTGAAGAGCTAATAGTAAACTCAAAGTAACTTTAATACCAATGGCATTAACTAACTCGCAGTGATGACAGCCAGCTGGGGTCAACAAGAAACTGAATGCTAATGCTAACTGATGCTTCGACACTGGTAATGCCAAATGCTAAATAAAAATAATACTAAACAAATCTGGTAGACTGTAGACAACTCATGAAGATGGCCCGCAATCCAACGTCAGACAGCAGGAACCCTAAAATGGAAAAAAAAGACAAAGAAAATCAAAGAAAGTATTGTATTAGCAAGCAACTATAGTTTTGCCACATGGTTCTTGGCTACTAAAGTTCATAACGATTTTAAATGTTCACTCGTGCCATTTGTGCAAACATTTGTGGCTCCAACGCACTGCATTGTAAAAATGTTTAACAGCTTCAATAGAACAGTTTTAATTTTAATTTCCAGCAACACAAAGCAACAGAGTTTCACAAGGCAACCCAAGCCACATGCTAAGGGGCTTTTTTTATTTCAAATGGAAGACACTTTACCTACTTTACTTTACTATAAGTTGTCAGGTCTACAAGCTTTCCCCAGGATTTCACACATGTCATCACCACATCCCAGAATTTCATTTCAGAAAACAGGGCAAAATGAAAATGGGCCGCTCTCCTCTGATTCACGCTGATATTAAGTCTGTATTTTCCCAGAGAATGTTTTCTAGTGCAGCTTCAAGTTCTGATCACACACAGTAGGCCTGTATCCCAGCTGCTAAAGGGAAATTATTGCTTCTTTTCATGTAGGAAATTGCCTATTTTGTTAAACTGTTATGGTAGCCCAACATCAAATCCACATGCACATAAGTGGAGCAAGTGAATGAGGGACTGACGGACACAGACAGACAGACAGACAGGCAGACAGACAGACAGACAGGCAGACAGGCAGATAGACAGACAGACAGGCAGATAGACAGACAGACACCACTACTACACACAGCTACTAGCAGATTTAGGAAGAAAAAAAGAGAAGCTGAAGGGGCTTGCCAGCTGCCTACAATTCTTCTAAAATCCCCCACGGTAAACAGCAGGGCTGGCGCAGTACACACCACGCTCACACACCAACATATGCACACACACACACACACACAATTACAGTGCCAGCTCCTTGGGCGAACACATGTCATTTTGTCTGGTCTTCTACTGTTCACACTTCCCATGCTCTGTCCCTTGCCACAGCCTGCACAAGCCTGCAGTGTGAAGTGTATGTCAGTGTGTGTATACTGAGTGTGTGTGTGTGTGTGTGTGTATGTGTGTATACTGAGTGTGTGTGTGTGTGTGTGTGTGTGTGTGTGTGTGTGTGTGTGTATGTGTGTATACTGAGTGTGTGTGTGTCTGCCTGGCTAATTTTAACACAATTGCTCTTGACAGTGTGCACGCGCACACATGCAACTGAAGCATGTAAAGCAGCAGGCAACACTTTGGACACATTTGAACCTTGTACGCACACTTGGGCCCAACTCAACGCTTTTTAACACCTGGGGGAAAACACTGCAAGGCTGCAAGAAAACATCCGTTGGCTTAGACTCCCAGCCATGTGGAACGAATGAGATCTGCTGGTTTTACTAGAGTTTGTCCTCTGGTTCTCTCTTCATGCTTATTCCATTCACCCTCATTTCCGTTTCCTCTCTAACTTCCCACCCTAGCTTTCTTCCCCGCTTCCCTCCTGCCCTCCCCCAGCAGTTTTCCATTTAAACAAGGATTCATTCATCCAGCGGGCTGTATGGTTGAGCACCAGGGGAAAGATTTGTTTCCTCTACACCGAGTGTGAGTGCATTTGTGAATATGCAACTTTGTGCGTCAAAGTGAATTATCGCTCTTTACAGGTTAGGCAGTGATCATCTTAGCTTCATGATACAATGATTTCACTGATGAGAAGTTTGAATGGTGGAAGTAAAGGATCAAAACATCCACATGGATCTTTAAATCTAACACATCGACCACAACAGCGTTATTAGGGGTTTCATTCCCCACAGCTTTATGAAGTCTTTTAGTGTCTTTTAGCTCATTATTTTAGTTTTTGTGGCCTGCAAACTTAATTCTCATTAACCTTATTTCCAAACATGGCAAGCAGCTGTTTTCTTCAAGAAAGCTCTGATAAACCTCCTTAACACTACCTGCCCATAAATGCCAAACAACATCAGCAACTATAGCTCGCAAACATAGTGGAGCATTAAGCTGTTAAAGAGACAGATTTTCCTTAGGCGCTGGTGGTGACCAATACAGAGCTAAAAGGAGAATCAATAGTACATTCGTCAGTACAGAAACATGACTCAGAATCGGAAGTAACTGTCAACAGTCAACCACAACAACTTTCTATGGCAATTTCATTGTAGTGTTTTCAGCTTCAAAGCCAAGACAATAGCTTTAAGATTTGTTCTTCCAGAACTGAATATCTTCTTTGCATGATCTGAAAATCCTGCATTTACTTCAGAACACAAACCATTAGACCATTAAACCTCTTTCAAGGCCTATGCTAAAGCAATGACAATGAACCACACACGTTTAGATTCAATGGGCTTTAAACTCCCACAGGCACATTTTGTCTTTATTGTATATACTCAACAGCGCTTCTTCTATCATGGTGCAACAGCCTTCAAACACCGAACTGAGTAGGTGATAGTATTATACTTCACTGCTCTGCTTTGGTTAGTAGTTCACATAAACTGATGCAAAACTACAGTACTAGTCTGTAGAAATATACACAACTTTTCTGTGCAATTTCCCTTCGGGGATGAATAAAGCGCCTATCTACCTATCTATCTAAACATATAAAACAAGCAAATGTGTGTATGTAATAAATCCCATTGTTGTGTAAGTGCTGCTCCTGTTTGTGTGATGTTTACAAATGGTTTACTTATTTCTTGGCAGCTTGTGCTACATTCTCCACAAGGCGGCTGATCAACCAGAGCATTGAGATCACATTCAAATAAAATGCAGGAAGCACCAACTGTTCATCAGTTCAAAAGTTCAAAGCCTTATTATTACTTATTTAAGCATCAATATATCAAATGGATTCCACCACACAAGTTACTTCCTATATAGAGATTACGTTACTAAATATTGTAACTACATATTTAAACATACTAACTGCCAGATGGAACTGCTAACTGAACCAACAGGCAAAGCTAACGATAGCTTACTAATATCTGTGCCAAGTCGAAGAGTGAAAAAATGAATATGAAAAAAAGTCATATCTGACCTGACACTTCCAAAATGCTGTTTAATAATAATTTGGTTGGAAAGATTTTAAATTATATTTTAGAAAAATTGCACAATATGTCCCTAATGAAAGGCACCAATCTGTGTGTGTGTCTCTTTGTATTTAAATTATGTCGAGAACCGTTCATCCAATCAACCTGTGTTGCTGCAGACCCAAGGGAGTGCAGTATCGCATTTGGTGCAATTTGGACACGCGAACCCTTCAGAATTAATAAATATGCTTGTGAGGGCAGGGCTTATGTGCTCCCTTTTGATAGTGAATTGTTGAAACGGCGTTTTTGTCATCATGCAGGTTCGATATACGTTAGAGACAAATGTGTTGAAACAGAATTGTAAGAGTGTAATAAGGTCCTAAGGAAGCGCTAATATCTAGCAGGATCTCCACCATTGTCGTGTTGTTTCATTGTTATTAATGTTGTGGGTGAAACCAATGTGAGACACATTTTACACAAACTCTGCACAGGGAAAAGCACAGGGAGGCGTCACATCGGCCCCTGTGAACGGGCACTGCACTAGTCCTTCAAATTACAAAATTGCAACTTGTTAGATAATAGATATTTAATAGTTACTTATTTATACATCCAGACTGAGCGCATGCCATCATCAGCAGACATTAAAAGGTCATTGGTGACTCTAAGCAGGGCAGTCTCAGTGCTGTGGTACTTACGGAAACCAGATAGAAACTTTTCAAATATTTTGTTATTTTCCAGTACAGAGAGCAGTTGTGTCAACACTATTTTTTTCTAAAATCTTTGCAATAAAAGGTAGTTTGGAAATTGGTCTAAAATGTTGAGGGAGGGATCTTAACCAGTTTTTTTTTAAAAGTGGGTTTACGCAAGCAGTTTTAAAATAATCAGGGACACAACCAGTAGATAGGGAGCTGTTAAAAACAGATATCAAATGGGGCCCAACAGAATCCATTACTTTTAGTAAAAACTTTGTTGCTATTACATCAAGTGGGCTGGAGGACACTCTCATTTGTAATACTGTTTTTAAAAGCTCAGACAAGTCAATGGGATAAAACTGGTTAAAACTGTTGCTGGTGGCTCTGATTGACACCACTTTATCAGTAAAATAAGATAAAAACAATTCACAGTCATCATTACTTTCAGCTGAGGCACAAGGAGGGGTTGGGTTTACCAGCTGATCCACAGTCTTAAATAGAAATCTAGGATTATGTTGATGTGTGGTAATGAGTTCAGAAAAATAGTTCTTGCATCCTTAACCATGTTATTTTAGTTTAATAATAATTCCTTCATAATAAGGTAATGGACTTGGACACTGGATTTTTTTCATCTACGTTCTGCTTTCCTGCATTCCCTTTTAAGGCTGCCAATGTTGTCATTTATCCAGGGCTGCTTGCTAGCTGTAGACGTAGGCCTAACCTTTTGAGGAGCAATAATATTTTGCGATGACAAGCAAATATGATTGAAGTGGTCAGCCAGATCGTTGGTGTGGGAATCAGACAGATGTTGGCTTTGGCTCTGAAACAATGTGCAAAACTTTGAAATACTTTATTCATTAAGGATGCGAAAACACACAGAGCTTGGTGAGGCAGTACAGGAAACGGGTGATTCACAGTTAGAAACCATACATTTGTGGTCAGATATGGTCAGTAAGGAAATGCTGTGACCCAGGGTAAAAACCAAGTCCATTGTATGACCACGGTTATGTGTTTGCCCATAGACATGTTGTTTAAAGTTAAAAAAAAGTGGCCATATTTAAAAATCACCACAAAGAACAATTCTGTCATAATAATAAAAAACAAATATGGTTTGTTGTAGGCCACCAAGTTTATAAGTGAGAACATCAAAGGAAGCATATTTAATGACATTTAAAATTATTCCTGTCCTCACTCAGTAGCCCACCACCACGACCACTGACCCTGGGTTTGCTGAAACAGTTATAGTGAGGAGGACACTGGCTATTGTCATTAGTTTGCAAATATCTAGATTTGCAGACAAAATAAAATCATTTGAAA